CATTGGTTGAACAGTTTGTTAAGATTCCTCGAAACATGCTTGGCTAACATAAGAATTCTTCTTTGCACGTCATGAGTTACTTTCGTCATGAAATCGTTTGGTTAGTTTAAAGCTTATTTTAAATATACTACCAACATACATTATGTAATTATGAATTCTCATAACACTCCACACTCTAAGTTTAAAAACATGGTGTCTAGTTTGAGTTTCCTTTTTCTTAGATATAATAACCGTTGTCGTTTGTAAAGAAATGAGCCGTTTTTAAAGCCTGCAATATGTGTACATCACCGACAGCAGTTAGGAATTATGATGTGAATTCCTAATACAAAATTAGAACAAACAGTGGTTTGAATAACGAAAAAATTGAAAAGGCTAGGAATAAGTAAGTAAATGTTTGAGGAAATTAGGTTTCAGTCAAATAAATCATAAGATAATGGGTTATAGTAAAATTTTCGGCTATAGTATGGTTATCGACTGTCATTTTTACCCAAGAACTTTAAGTTCGCTTTATAAGGAAGCAGGCGATGGTCTATGATAAATGCAGCCAGAAAAGCAAAAGACTCCGAAATTTACAAACATTATTATTTAGTAAGGCATGGATCACACGTCAGAGTCTGTGGTCATAAATCTGTCGTTTGAAAATTTTAGAGACTTCCTCATTCCCTTGTTAGAATATCATCCCACTAATAATAGTAGTCCTTACATTTCTGCAACATCAAATCATTTGAATAGCAATCACTGCACTGCCAATTCTTAATATTCTAGGCCCTAAATAAATGCCTCTCTCGCATTTCTTTCTATGCAACTACCTTTGTCACGCTCACCGTTTTCCTACATGTATTAGCTCACTGGAATTTTTGGTGTGAGCGTCTACTTTCGTCAGGTTATCCAGTCTGTTACAGCTTTCATTTGAAGAAAAGTTAGAGTAATAAGGTGAATACAGTCCACATTTTAGAGTTAAGGGGAAATGTAGGGTCTATAAGAAACCTATGAAAATCATGCCATAGTGGTGATTTGCAGTGTATATGTATGTATATAAAAAGAGAGTAGTGAAGTACCTTTCTGTCTCTGCGCTTCTTTCCACCTTGTTTCATTTCGCACTGCCATTCACGTCTTATTAATGTAATCTGTGGGGTTCCGCCGTGCAAATCGATAAGCCGTCCGTTATATTCTATACGAGTACATTTAAAAGTTGGTATCCAGAAATAAAACCCAGGCTTAAAACTGAGAATGAGTCTAAATTTCATTTTCCTAATGAGAAATTATCAAGGAAAAGTGATGCAACCCTGACAACATCATTTTAAATTAATCTGCTGTGGAATGTCTAGTCGACAAATTTCTACACCTGGGTACCCACTGGTCGACAAAAGTCTTATTCAATCTCTTGCGCTCTCTCGTGCATTCGTGGTACTGCTGAGGAAAAATTGGATCTAATACGAAAAATCCTATTCGAAAACGCATATTCATCACGTTTTTTGGAAGTAAATTTAGAACATATGAAATGTGATTCATTGTCTACATCCAAGAAAATATTACACATGAATCTTGGATTCAAAATACACCAAGCTGTCTACATAATTACACTCACTGCAGCGTCATTATGAATAGTAACTTTTAGTTGACGGCCACTTTTCGGCAACCTGAAGGATAAGATCTTCCATTTGGTTAACTTTATGTGTGACTGCCAGTTTATTTATTCCTGTGGAGTAAGTTGAATCGGTCATTCTACGAGGATTTGGCCAGAAATGTTTCAAGAACACTTTTTTGCCTGGTCACGAAGATGCGTAAGTGGATCGATAAGAAGCGAAGTAACTGAAAACATTGTCGACAATGGTTGTCTCTCCGGATGAAGCACTACCGATCGAGGTAGCCATTAAAAAGTCAGAAGGTCTCTCTAACTTGACAGTTGGTGGCACTGTTTCCAGCTATGGAACCAGATTCTGATGCATATCTGACGTTTAAATCACGTATTGCCCCTGATTGGGACATATTAGGTTGGTAACAACAAAAGGCAAGATATGGAAGCCAAGGTATATTTTCCAGTGATTAAACCTATATATATATATGCAGTTTTATTTTGTCTAACCAATCATTGAGCTTGTGATTTGGCTCACATTAGACGACATGGAATAGAATGTTCAAACACATAGCATTCTGTTGCTGTTGCCGTTTCGAACTGTGGGAATATGTGGGAATCCTATTGCGTTGGAATTCATTGTCTGTATCTAACCACCACAGGTTCATGTACGGTATGACAATTTGTATTTGCAGCGTGGTTCCACATTGTGGATATCGGAGTGACTTTCAAAGTACGAAGATACAAAAGTACGTCAATAGATAGAAGTCTCGTCGCTTTAGAGTTTAACATTGAGTTACCGCAGAAGGACATGTCCTCATTGTTCGACGTCCTAAACGTAAAACTAACTGAACACAAGCTGTTCTCAGATGACATTTTAAGGCGAGCGTTTGATAATTACGTAAAAACGTTCACTTAGAGAGATGATTCTGATTGGCTGATTCAAAATACTTCCTCAGAAAATAATTCATGAATATGAAGTCTGAGAAAATATTCCCTCCATATTTGACAGGGAAACCAGGACATCAATATCAGATTTCAGATTCAGATTTCAGATTTATTGGTTGAGGATAGAAGGCTTGCGGCCTATGTTAATCCTTTTCTAGTGAATTTCTGTGGTTGTCCAAACCCTTCTTGAACGAATCAACTGAGGTTGCAGACACCACTTCTTCTGGGAGTCGGTTCCAAGAGTTTATGACTCGGTGTGAGAACCAGTACTCAACTGCAATATGATTTCTTCTTGGCTTTTGAACTCTCCTGCTATGTCCTCTAAGGTGTTCCGACCTGGTGGGAAGGAAAAGAGAAAATAGGTCAGGTCCGTAGTCATTATTTAAAATTTTAAACATTGTGATTAAATCTCCTCTCTGCCTACGGTATCACAAGGTGAAGAGATTTAAACTGTCTAGTCTTTCCTCGTATGATAAGTTAGTCATGCCATGAATCATACGTGTTGCTTTCCTTTGAACCCTTTCTAGAATAAGTGAGTCCCCTTTTAGACAAGGGCTGGCGGCCTGGATGCAGTTTTCCAGTCTTGACCTCACCAGAGATGTATATAAGGAGGTGAACATATCTCTGGTGATTCTAGTGAAGGCTCTACGAATTGCCCATAATGACCCGAAACTACGTGCAGCCACCGCGCGACAGTGTGCTGTAGTTTTTAAGTCGTGGCTAACTATGACACCTTAGTCCAAGTGAGTATGAACTGATGTAAGTGTAATTCCCTCTAGTTCATAAGAGCTCGTGCTTGCTTGTCCAATGCGCATGGTTGCACATTTTGCCACGTTTATCGGGAGCATCCATCCTATGGACCACTCTGACAGTTTGTTGAGGTTCTCTTGCAACGTGGACGAGTCACTGTTGCCCTTCAGCTCTCTCCAAATTTTTAAGTCATCTGCGTATAGGACCATAGGGGAATCGGTGAGCAGAGATAACTCATTGATATACAAAATAAATAGGAGAGGTCCAAGTACCGTGCCTTGTGGCACTCCGCTGCGTACTGCAGTCCAAGAGGAGAGTTTCGAGTTGATCCTAACTCTCTGCCTCCTATCTATGAGGAATTCCCTGAGCCAGTTTAGTAAGCTACCTTTGATACCAAGACTTTCCAACTTTATGAGTAGTCTTTTGTGAGGTACTTTATCAAAGGCTTTGCTGAAGTCTATGAAGACGACGTCAACGGGTCTTCTGTTGTCCCTGGATTTGACCCAGCTTTCTCTTGCAGTGAGAAAATTTGACAGGCATGAGAGATTCCTTCGGAAGCCATGCTGTGCTCTTGATAATAAGCTTCTATTTTCTAGATATGCCATTATGCTTTTCTTGATGATTCTCTCCAGTGTCTTAATTAAAGTGCTGGTGAGACTGATAGGCCTGTAATTTGAAGGGCTTTGTCTTGATCCTCCTTTGTGGATGGGGCTTACTATGGCGTCTTTCCAGTCACGCGGCAACACTCCATTTAGGAGAGAAAGCTTGAAGATCGTAGTCAAAGGGCCGGCTATTTGGGCTGATAACTCCTTGAGAAGCCTTGGGTGAGGATTATCAGGACCCATTGATTTCCCTGCATCTAGTTTCCTTAGGCAGTTGAGCACGATGCCTTGGTCAGTGTCAACGGAATCTATCCCATGTTCTTCTGGTGCAGCCAGAGCTGATCCTATAGGCAGTGACGACTCCTGAGTGAAGACTTGGGAGAAGTAGTTTGCCATTGCTTCTGCTTTTTCTTGATCTTCTTCGATTGTATCATTGTCAATAGTCAGGTTTGGGACACCATTGGATGTTTTATTCCTGAAGTTCATGTACGAGAAAATTTTCTTAGGTTGTGCCTTTGCATTTTGAGCCAGGTGTGCTTCGAATTTCATCCTTGATTTGCGGATTTCTGCAATAGCTTTATTTCTAGCAGTGTTATATAATTGCCTGGTCTCAGAAGTCTCAAGTGTGGCAAACAAGTTCCAACATTTGTGTTTACGTCTAAGTAACTTACGAATCTCTCGGTTTATTCAAGGAGAGCAGTGTTTCCGACCCTTTGGGACAGACCAAGCGATGAAAGGTTCAGTTACTTGGGCGTAAAGTTGTTTAAATTGGTTCCATGCGGCTTCTACTTGAGACTCTGGGTTGATGTACCAGTTTACTGAGTTGGCTGCTGAGACGATTGCATTTATATCAGCTTTCCAAACGTTTGGTCGAGATGGGGTTTTGGCCCTTGCTGCCGTTGCTGTGAACTTGAAAGTGAGCACAGCATGGTCACTTCTTCCTAAAGGAGGAAGATGTTGTATGAGATCTACATCATCACCATGGGAGATAAAGTAACAGGCAAATAAGCCTTGTCATTCTCGAAAATGTACGCATGAACAAAGTGAATGTGAACGAAGGTAATTCTTTACGATATTTTTCATAATGTTATTGAATATTGTATTTAGTTACAGACTTTTCTAATGGATAAGCACCGCGTCATATGATTACATGGTTGCGTTACGTATGGCTTTTTCGTGAGTCAAGTTTCTGTACTTCATTTGACTTTTAATTCGTATTTGTACCTAATAGTTTCTAAAATATTTTTGTAATAAAATTAAATGTGTTTTAAAAAATTTATTGTTTATATATAGGTGAAATTTACATTAAAAATGTTTTGTAGATGATACTCAATAAACCACGTAGCTTAGAATACTGATGTTTTGCATTTATAGTAGCATTTGCACACATTATCTGCATACCATATATTAAAATGAATTTGTTCAAGCTGCCATCAGTCGTAGTTAAAGAGATTTCAAATGGTGTCATGAGTCGTTTGGAGTATATACTTTTCCATGCGGACCCGTAATTTCCTCATTGTTATGTGCCGCCAAAATTTATTAACTGTATTGATCCTGGGGGGCCTTTTATCAAACGAATTTTACTGGAAATGCAAGCGTTTTTCTTTTACAGTATACTTCTAGTATTCCATACGCGAATGTCGTATATATATATATATATATAGTCCTTCATCAGAAGACTAGTGAAGACCGATATAAATTATATTTATGGGAAACTTGTAAAGTGTGTAGTTTAATACGTCCTCTTAACTAGCAAACTGTTAAAAAGCATGAGTGGCATTTTGCTAAACCCAACTCTTGTGAAGCCCATGTTTTTCGGTGGATTGAAAGCACAAAAAGCGAAATCCTTCACTGGAGTTTGACTCTTCTGTTCTGGATAAAACCATTGAAACAATTTAGTGGAATGAATTTGTTGCTTTCGTTTGGTAACCTGATGACTATATTTTTCTTTTTGGTAAATTGGTGTGTATTGTATCCAGCATCATTAGTTTTAATTAATAAGATGAAGCCTTGTTCTCAGATACTATCAAGAAATCTGAATTCCTGCATGTGGACTGATATGACCAAAATTTACTGTCTCATTTGCTGAGTGATTTAACACGTGCCTGTTTACATATAGGAAAGCCTCAGTTGGTAGTGGTTAATGTTGTACTGCTATGATATTCCATCACACTAGAATTATGAATTGTGTTATTCCCTGTTATGCATGCTGACTTTTCCTCGATTTTTATTCTTCTTCCCACATTTTCTCTTGGTTATCGTATCAGAATTCTACAGATTTATCTGTATTTGGGTCTCCTATGTAGTATCTTTAATACTTTCTCAAAAAAATTACTTTTAAAAGTTGATTCGAATTAGCATTAGGATTTATTGTGGATTAGTTTATAGCCGCGGTTAATAAAAATAACACTGGATATCAGTTTGTTTAATGGATGTATCACACTCTGAAACAGTAATATTTAGTGGATGATGTTTCAAACCCAATTTATTGTGAAAAATCGTATTATTTAGTGTGATTATTTTCTTTGTTTTGTTTTATTGTTTTCAAAACGTCGTCCAGTAAATAATACTGTTCCATTGTAATATACCATTTAGAAAAATTAGTGTGGAATCACATACTACAACAGTGCTCAAGTTCTATACACTATTGATGCTTTTTGGCCTCCGAAATGAATGAAACCACGATTGTGTGTTGTAGGCTTGAATGCATCTTGATCCAAAGCTTCTTTTTATTCTCGTGTGGTTATATGTGGACTTCCTGCCTATGTTCATTTCACATATATTACACTGTATTTTCTTTAGTCAATCAGAATAACGTCCTACTCCTTTCCTTAAATCCAAATTTAAATGATGCATGAAATATAGCTTTATGATATAAATTTGTCTTCCCGTTTGACCAATCATCTCTTGTTTTCTTCTACGACTCTTAAAGGTATAATCCTGTCCAAACTGTATAGTACCTTTTGTACCTTCCAAAAGCTATCAAAATGATTATAGAACTAATAAAGGAATAGGCTGGAAGGGTTAGCTGTCAGACAAAGACTTTGGACCAAACTATGAAGTCCTTGATCGTTGGTTTGACTATCGTGGGAATTTTTAATCTGCTTGATTGAGTTCCTCAGTATAGTAAGGACCACTGGTTGGAGACCATTGTTGAGATGGTGTAGAATCCTTCAAAATGCTGCAAATATATTTACTCTTTGTCATCTCTCATATTCTGAGGATTTTCGCTAATCCTCATCCAATTATTCTTTCCGTCACACATCTTTCTGTATTGTAAATTCGTTGTACGTTTTTACTCAGTTTTGTGGGGCTTTGTGTAGTGAGGTGGCTTTAACTGCTGCCATCTTTTGTAAAGTTTTTTTGACAAATCCATTAGTCGGTCAGTCAGTTTGCTCAGACACATGGTTTAGCTCGGAATCACTAAAGAATATTGCTATCACAGTGACCTTAGACTTGCCATCCCACTTTTCAACCTTGTCATATTTGGCATACTGGTTAAATTATTTGGCACTTCTGTTGTTTTATTGCTTTCTATTCATAATAATGATATCGGGAAAATTGTTTGACGTTTTCCTAGCTCTAGTATTCATTCGGAGATGTTTCATCTTCAGGCTTGGTGACCTCTTCATCGTTAACTTCTTGGTGATGAAACCTTGACGACCGAACACCAGTGTTGAAAGAAAATCAGAAGATTTCCCTACTCATCCTGAGTTACGAATCTTTCTGTAAATAATATTTGGTGAGGTTTATTTTAACTTTTATGCTAAAGTCTCTAAATGCAGCGCTGAGTGACACCAGCTCAAGTCTCAGAAGAGCCATGAGTTCCTGCAAGATTGCAGATACGCTTTGCTGACGCGCGCCAACTAGTACGAAACCTAGATCCAAGGCTTTCTACCGATTGCTTCCAACCACCTAATTTGTATACATTATAGGTTGACTACTGATCAAATTCTTATATTTTCTTCATTTGATAGAGTATGTCTTAGCAGTGGTGTAATATTCATCTCCCTGTGAGAAGCGGGAGTATTTCGTTCAAAAATACCATTCTGTTAGATATGAAAGTTACGAAAGTCTGATAAGTATATTTTATGCAACGCTTTAGTTTCGATAATTTTACGGCTAGGTGTTGTCCTTTAACGCAGGGAGTAAATCGCTGGCTGGCGTGTTGCATGTGCCAACTTATAACTGTGGTGATAGCTGCAATATAGTTGCATATTAGAAAAGTTAATCGAAAACTGCCTTCAGACATCAACTTATCAACTAAGTTAGTGTTGATTGGGGCTATTTACTGAAGGTTGCTTAATTGAGTTTACAGAAATATAAACCAATAGTTTGAAAAGCTACTTCATGTGATTGAAAGTGATTGCAATAACACATGTCTGTTTTAATCCTTTCATGTTTAAATCATCTCATCACTTTTTAATCAGTTGTTTCTTTCTTAATAACACTCATGTTTACAGTATCACTCTTAGAGTAGATACAATTCTGTATAAAATTCTGTCTATTAGGTTCAAACTTAAACCATCAAACTAGTGAAAGTAATAACATGAATCGTGATATATTTAGACTTACTAGTTCCAGTATTCTTGCATTATGGGTTACGGTGTGAAATTTAAGTTATAATAATCACTCAATAATAATTCTTTTACAACTGTTTCAAGGTATTTTAACAAGGACTAGTTTTACATGTCTCTGAGTTGTTTTTAGAACTCATTAAAAACCACACGAAAATTTGACTGAATTTATGCGATACTCAGATTTTTTAAGCATTTTGGAATGAAAGTTCCACTAACCTAATGTTCTGTAATAATTGATGGAAATATGGATGATTTGAAGGCAGATTGGTATCAGTTGGGCGGTATTTGAATACTAATGAACAAGCTTTTTACTTATTTCATTATAAATTACTTAAAATAATCCCAGAGTGTTTAAGAAAAAATTAAACAAGATTTTTCTGAACGTTTCGCTGTGTAAGCCATAGCTTCTCCAGCAGAATTATTCGGATCTTTATTAATCATCAAAATATAAAATCAAAAATTACATAAATTGAAGTCAGTTTATTTGAAGGTCACTTGTCGATAAATATTTGCACCAATATTATTCCAGGAAATTCGTTACATCTACGGTCTGGAAACTTATAATCTTTTTAATCATTTTCCTAAAGCGTAGCCGACAGCACATACTTTGTGCAGCTAGATTTACAATAATGACATCAACATGAAAATTCACTAATACCTTCTTTTTTCTTTTCTAAAACTCGTAAACAAGCAAATTATGAAATAATCAGGGAACCCTATAGACGAGTAAACAGTTGAATAATAAATAGTGTCAAGTTGGTAACTTTTCCTTTGTTACATCAATATTAATAAATTAGTTATCAGCATATACTTATCTTTCCTCTCTATTCCACCTATGTTTTTTATTCTGTATGTGAATGTGAGTCTTTCGTGGTCGATAGACATATTTTTTTCCGTTTCAGAAGTTTGACCTTGAACCTTTCATCAATGCTCTCAACAATACTAAATTCGATAAATTAAAATATAAAAAAATACATGAATATGTTTTTATCCTAAAGAGATGAAAATAAGTCACTTTTTAAATTATTCCTTTTTTTCAAATTTTTTGTTTTCTTTCGGCTACATTTTTACTTAGGCAAATAAGTACTCTTATATATTAGTGATAGGTACAGTTAAATAAAATGATTTTAAAATAAGTAGGTTGATTTTTTGAGGGATAAATGTGTTTCAGATGAAATACCATCATATTTTCGAATAAAAATGTGGTTTATCCCACCTCAAATGTAGTGAGATGCTGCAGGACTGGTATGAACTGGCTCTTTTTCTCAAGGATATGAAGTAAAATGGTTGAATGTGCTGACAACTTCACTTATTTGGTGAGTTACATACACCTCTAGTGTGGTGGTTACTGACGAAACCTCAGAGCAAAAAAGGCTTATTTAGCCTTAGCCAATTTGTATCACATTAGTCCCAGCATGATATCCGGATATCCAGCCGATAAAATTTTTAAGTGTTTAACAGTTCGCTGCCCCTTACTTTACAGCTGTGAAATATCGTCTACGTAATTAAATGATATGAAAATATCAGTGGCTTTTGACCATTATTACCTCTGTTGAGTGTCTTGTTTTAGGTGGTGCAATATGGTTAGTGATAATA